AAGATAAGATAAGAGCAATAGAATAAGATAAGAACAAGCAAGATGATCTAATCTAATCTGGCGGTGGGTCAGGTTCCTGTTGCTGCCGGCGGCGATGGTACGTCTTTCCGAGGAATGTGTCCATAACACGTGCACCTTTTGAAAGGGCTACGCCTAGGACCTAGGTGAGGCGCATACCCTAAAATGCACCTCGCCTGTGCCTAGGCACAACTTTTAAATCACTGTTGTTATCAAGAATTTTTAACTAAATACATAATTGAGGGCATGGAAAATAAACATCTTAAATACCAATAAGATGAAGAAATTAAGCAATCCAACTCACCCTTAATGCTAGTTGGGGTTGGCTACATGAACCTTGTCCTGCATGTGCTCTATCAACAATCCTGTTTTCTATCTAATTATAAGTTATTGAATACTTTTTTTACCATGTTGGATAATATTTTCATTGATCTTCCCCTTGCTCAATTAGAGCCTCCAATTTGCACCAATTCATTCCTCACTAGTGCTTTAATTGGTAGTTATGCACATAAAATAAACTAGCTAAGTTGCTTTACTCATCTTTTTGCTAATCGGAGCTACTCTTAAGTCCCTTAAAATGTTCTCGATTCTGATTTTGTTCTTTCTAGTCCTGCCACACATCTCATCACAGCTATCATTTTAGAACTTACTGTTTCTTGATTTTAAAGCACTCTGTCTGGCATAGCAATGATCCTATAACCGTTCTACAGGATTTTCTTTTAGTCTCATTTGGTATATGCTGATCATGCTGCAAGCTAGATGCACTTTTTTTTTTTTGATAATTGAAAGATAATTTCATTAACCAAAGAAGGTGAGCTGTTACATGCATCCCTTGGAGAGGTGCGAGGTGCAGCCTCTCCTAAATATTACAGATAAAAAAGAAAATAGTTATGAACTTGCCCAAAATAGCTCTTCCCTTGATATCCCTTGTTTGGCAAGAAAGCCAGCGAAAGCATTTGTCGACCTACCCACCCATTGGACTCTAATTGTCACGTGTCTTGTTAACCATTTCACTTTTTTCAAAAGATCCCTATAGCTCCAAATAACTGAATCTGGGTTCATCAACCAACCCTCAATCACCTTAGAGTCCCCTTCAATCAGTAATTTCTCTACCCTAAGTTGGTTGGCAATTTGAATTCCTTATACAGTATCCAGCAACTTAGCCCTTGTAGAATCACCTACTCCCACCAGGCCCAAAAACAGTAATAAGATATACCGTTTCCAATAAAAAAACAGTGATAAGATATTGCTCTCCTTAGTTCTCAAGACCCCTCCAATCCCTGACTCTCCTCGGTTCTCAAACTAGATGCACCTCTTAAGCTACCTTGTTCTAATCCAATGGGCTACCACTACTGGTAGTTTGGGGCATCTCTTGATCATTATTACTAATTGCACTACCATGATCCAAAATATTTTTGCAGAAATTGGAATGCACATATTCTTAGTCTGACTAATCTTGAAACATTTTGTTTCTAAACTCTAAAGCATCGTATTTTAGCTTTGCATTCCATCGTTAGTCTTTTCAATCAAAATCATATCATAAAAGAACAACATACACCATGGGGCCTCCTTTTAAATATATATTTAGTTTGCCTTTTATTGTTTTAAATGTCTAATTAGTCATCTATACCTGATGCAAAAAAGAAAGGGACTGCCATAATTAATGGTTTTTAATGAGAGAAATGTAGCAATCATAAGTGGTGTTTTAAAAGCGCAAGGCACAAAAATAGCACAAGAGGCATTCTGTGCTCAAGGCACAAGGTGCAAGGTGCAAGGTGAGGCACACACCTTTTTGAAGCAAGGCACAAAAATACAAAAAATGTCAGAAAACTCAAAAAGTGCCAAAACATTCAAAAAAATGCAAAAAAATAAAAATATGAAACATAATATTATTAAAAAATATAAACATAAATTTTAAAATAAATGTTTTAAAAACCTATTATCTAAAGTTAGAATACATTAACATAATGTATAAAGCACATTCAAATGAAAATTTATAAATAAAACCAAACATATAAAACATTTTCAAGTATGTAAAACCCACAATTTCTTTTTTGTTCTCAATTGCATTACTTCAAATTGCTAATGTGATGTAAAACATCTTGCATTCCTAATTCTATGACCCGCCATTGTACCAAGTTCCTCGAGGCAAGTCCAAATAAATCCATGTTAGGGTCTTAAATTCTTAATCCTTACACAAAAATAAATGATTTTATAATGTTAATTGTCTTTTAAGAAGATATTTTACTAGGCTGAAGCACAAGGTGCACCAGGCGCACGTCTTTGGGAAGTGCTGCGCCTAGGACCTAGGCAAGGCACATACCTTAAAATGCACCTCACATGAGTGCCTTAATATGAAGAGACAAATTGATCTGGTAAATGTCTTTGTAAGTACCATTTACATGCATTCTTTCCCTTGTAAACTAATTCATGAAGTCATTTATTTACTAGAAAGTATCTCCCAAGGCATAGGGAATGACAGAATAAGAATTATGTAGCTGATCATATTTGGTTAAGGCTTTATCCAGTGAGATGCTTTATATAATCCTTGAAGTTATTTGAAGGTAAAAGGTTGTTAGGAATTCTTACACTGCTTCTATAGGTAGAAGCTTGGTATTTGATGGTTCTTTCAGTTTTTTTTTTTTTTTTTTTTTTTAATCTTCATGCATTAAGGCATGATGTTTCCTGATATTCGGCCAGTATATTCATGTTCATTGTGTTGTACTTGTTTACCAGTCATCTTTATTTGGAGAAAACATCTCTGTTCTCTACCTTAATTTGAATGTTTTATATATTAAAATGAATTCTTTGGATTTTTTTTTGTCATTGCTTTGTTTAGGTTAGTGTATTTTACACACCCTGTGAATGTTTGTCAGTGGTTGATGTCTATGCTACTATCATTTCAACAATTTAGATTGTTTCCCCACTTAGTGGTAGGCTTCCGAGGTTGCGACTGGTTGAGAATTTGTTTTAAGTTTTTTTCTTAGAACTCATTTAATAGATGTCTTTTTCTTTGTTCTGGTTGATGATGTGATTTATTTCTGACTAAATGCATCACTAACCACAATGGGAAATTTCTGGAGTTTTTCCCCTCTTCTTCATCAAGACCATATTTTGTAAACCTTGCTATCTCTGTGATGAATCATGACTGTTAAGGGAAGGTTGAACCACACATAGACATTTAGTCTCTGATTTCTCTTATAGCTACTCTACTTAATATTTTCGTTTAGACTTTCTATCAGAACTTAACTGTTGATGTTGGTGCTTTCTGTCTCTGTTATCTTTCTAACCTAAGTTGTATTTTTTACAGTATGAAGAATGTATCAAGGATTGTGACAAAGCAGTTGAGAGGGGAAGAGAGCTGCGTTCAGACTTTAAGATGGTTGCGAGGGCATTGACAAGGAAGGGAACTGCCTTGGTGAAAATGGCCAAGTGCTCAAAGGATTATGAACCTGCAATTGAGACTTTCCAGAAAGCTCTTACTGAGCATCGCAATCCAGATACATTGAAAAAGCTTAATGATGCTGAGAAAGCAAAGAAAGACCTAGAGCAGCAAGAGTATTTTGACCCAAAATTAGCAGATGAGGAGCGTGAAAAAGGTATGCCCTTACAATTGGTATATGGTGATACTTATGTAATACTTGATTTTTTTGCTCTTGTATGCATAAATACGGTGTTAACCAAAGTGGGGGTATCTATATGCATGTTTGTTATAAGGTGTCTTCTCTAGGGAGGGGTATCTATATGCATGTTTGTTTTAAGGTGTCTTCTCTAGGGAGAGGTATCCATATGCATGTGTGAGTGCATTTTAGCTGTCATGGTGATCTTTCTGGTATATGTTTCAGAAAACTAAAAGGAACTTTAGTTTTCCAATTTCTAATTGCAATATGGATAATTACTTGTATATATACCCAGTGACTTAAAAGGCGTGCCTAGGTGCACAGACGAGACACATTTTAGGGTAGGCGCCTCGCCCAAGTCCTAGGCACAGCACTTTCAAAAGGTGCACGCTTGATGCGCCTAGGCATGTGCCAGATGCGCCTTGTGCCTTGGCCTAGGCGTGCACCTTTTGAAAATTATACGCTTTTTTGCTTTCTTTTGAACCTAGCGGCTGGGGCTAATGCTAATGTTGTTCATTCATTCATCTTAATAAAATATCTTCATAAAAGGCAATTAAAATTATAAAATTATTATTTTCTTTTGTGTTAGAATTAAGAATTTAAGACCCAAACATGGACTTGTTTGGGCCTGCCTCGAGGGGCATGGCACCAAAGCGACTCGTAGAATCAGGAATGTAATATGTTTTACAACACATTAGCTACTTGAAGTAATGCAATTGAGGAAAAAAGAGATTGTGGGCTTTACATGCTTGAAAATGTTTTATATGTTTGATTTTATTTTTAATTTTTCATTTAAATATGCTTTACACATGTTTATGTATTTTAATTTTAGATAATAGGTTTTTGAAACCATTAATTTGAAATTTAACTTTATATTTCTTATTAACATTATGTTTACTATTTTTGATTTTTTGCATTTTTTGAGTTTTTTGGCATGTTTTTTTTGAATTTTCTGACATCTTTATCTATTTTTAGCATTTTGTTTTTAAATTTTTGCGCCTGGCTTCAAAAAGGCACGCACCTCGTCTTGTGCCTTATGCCTCGGTGCAAATTGGCCCTTGCGCCTTGCACTTTTAAAACACTATATTTGCCCTAAGGTTTGAGGAAACTACTTATGTAGACCATTAGTTCATAACCTACATATATATACCTTGTAAGATGGCCTCACATAACACATAGTCCATCTGTTAAAATGTTTATGGCTGTTTCATATGCCCATTAATTTTTTTCACAATCTCATTTTTACCCTCGTCTTCTTTTCCTATTTTTCCCTGTTGGTCCGACTAGGCACTCCATTTTCCCCACCTGCTGGTTCCCTCCCTCCCTCTCTCTCTCCTTTTTCTCTCCTTTTGTTCCTCATTTGTTCAACAGTTTGTAGGTGAAAAGGAAATGGGGAGATATTAATTTTGATTAATTTCTACAAGGGGCACACCTTGGAAACTAGATAGTGGAAAAATGTAGGAATTTTACAAGGGGCAAACAGGGAAAACAAAGAGTGCTTTGATCGAGTGGCGTTTACAGCGACAGAGAAGGAGAAGGCGGTGGTGGATAGAGCAGCGGCAGTGACTTTAACCTCTGCCCCCTTTTTTCTAGAAAGTCTATTAAAAGCTTTTATTAACCACATGATTCTACTCTGAAGTCAAAATCTATTAGTGCTTAATTTTTCCCTTTTTCTTCTCTTTATGCATAAAGACCTCCATGAGAAGGGTTGCAAAACTATCTTCATAGGATTGAAGGTGGTTAAAAAGAAAACATATTTTGGAATCATCCTCTTTGTGATGTGCCGACGTATTGGGAAAGCAAAGAACAAACATATTTTTGAAGATTATGGTCGAGAAATAAGCTAGTGGCTGATATTGGTTCATTAAATTTTTTTTTGGAGCTCTCCCTTGTATCAAACTTTCCCAAACAGAGCGAGCCAACAATTACAAGGCCCCTGGCCAACCCACCCAGAAGTGGGATGCATATATACTTGTTTGGTGTTGTATTGTTCGCTATGCTGACAGGGAAGTCCATAGAATTCTATTGATAAAAAAAAAGTCCATATAATTCTCATCTCCAACCACATCAACAGCAATCAGTGTGTGACCTTGGATCTGGTGAGATGGATGGGGAAGGGATTTGAAGAGGAGGAGAACCCGTTGTTGGAGGTGGTGGACTCTATGCTGCTCAAGGAAGTGCATGCAAAGAAGGGGGTGCTCACGGTGTTCCATGGGGCTCTTGCATGCATGGAACCAGATCTTGATGTGAGACCCAAGGATGAAAACAGTGTTGGAGAATCTTGATAGGATTGGCATGTAAAGAAATGAATTATTAATTCTTGTCACTTCCAACCAGCAGATTCCTCATTCCTGATCAGATTGTTCGAAAGGTGAAAATACGTAATGATCTTGCTATGTAGGTATATTTTTTCCGTCTTTTATGTGGCAAGTTTTTTATATGATTCATCAAAAGTGGTTTTTTTTTTGTTCTTGTTTTCCTCCTAATTCAAGAGAAGAATTAAAATTAAAAAAAAAGAGGCATTACAGAAGTAGACCGCATATCATTTAAATTAAAGGAAAAGAAGAAAGAGCTTGTTCAAAACCTTCTTTGTTCAACTTTCTCAAGAACCCAGTACTTTGATCTCAATCAATCTTTGTTGAACAATATTTTCTTCTGCAATCATTGTTTCAAGCTTGAGCGAAAATAGTGAAGGAACCCCAAGTTTTAATGGTTTTGAAGAAAGGGGTAAAATGGTCTCGAAAATAATTAGAAGGATAGGTGTGTCATGTTAAAAGTTTTAAGTCGCACATGTCGTGACATGAAACACGGATAACGGATGGAATGCTAACGACAGGGATGAATGGCAGTTATTAGGAGTTTAGGTACTGCAGTGAAGTTCAGGTACTAAACTGAGGCTACCCCCCAAGTACTGGGTACAAAGCTGGAATTTGCCCAAATTAAATTAACAGTTACGGATACTTTGGTCCTTCAAGTTTTTTCTGTTAGACTTAACATTTGAAAGGTCAACATAGTTTATGTAAGTAGTTTTTGAAACTACAGGGTATATAAGCAGTTTCTTCAAACCTCAAGGTATAAGGCTTTGTTTTATTAAAATATTGGTGAAAAGTGATTGGCTGCTTTTTTAGATTCAAACATGGTTCATCACTGAATTTTGTTTTCTCCAATGTGAATTGGATTTCTGGTTTTAATAAAGCATAGCTTTCTTATAGACACTCTTATCATATTATCTCATCCATTTAAATGTGAGTTGGTATGATCTATAGAGGTTTCAAACGAGCACTTGTGAGGCAGAGTAGCATATTTTGCTGTCTGTGCCATGATAAATTGTTTTTTTTTTTTTTTAAATCAGACTTAAAATGTTCACTTTGTTTTGAAAAAATCCATCGATAAATGTTTTTTGTTTTTGTTTTTCTGATGTGGAATACTTTAGAAACAAGAAAAGAAAATCATTCATGTTGGAGAACAACTCTCCAAATTAGCCAAGTGCTTCCTCTTACCGAATTAATGCCTTCTGTGTCTTAGTAGTAGTAAATAAACGTGGTGTTATAGATTCTCATTTGTTGTTGTACTGTTAACTGTCTAGGTAATGAGTGTTTCAAGGAGCAGAAGTATCCTGAAGCTGTGAAACATTACACAGAAGCTTTGAAACGGAACCCCAATGATCCAAGGGTAATATCATATTTCTCTTTGCTCATGTTAATTTCTGTTAATCAAATGTTGTAATACGATTTGCTTGTTGTTTTGCAGGTGTACAGCAATAGAGCAGCTTGTTATACAAAGTTGGGGGCACTGCCTGAGGGGTTGAAGGATGCAGAAAAGTGCATTGAGCTTGATCCAACTTTTTCCAAAGGGTACACAAGGAAAGGTGCAATCCAATTTTTTATGAAAGAATATGACAAAGCTTTGGAGACCTACCAGGAAGGGCTGAAACATGATGCCAACAACCAAGAGTTGATGGATGGTGTCCGTAGGTATGGCGTGGAGTCTTAATTCAGTAGAGGGGATCTTTTGTTTATATCTTTAGTTGCTTTTTTATTGATGTTTCCTCCATTTATTTACAGATGTGTAGAGCAGATCAACAAGACCAATCGTGGAGAGATTAGCCCTGAAGAATTGAAAGAGAGACAGGTATCTTTGTTTGCCACCCTTTAGCAAATGGTATCTCTATGCTTTTTAATTCATCATTGCTTACTATGATGGTAAAAGGTTAGGCTAGCAAGGGTGAGGACATGGTTTGAGTCTGAGAGCAACCACACCGGATAATTAGGATCAACATTGAATAATGGACCTTGTGACCTGATCAAGGCCAGTCCAAATTCAACCATAGTTGGATCGAATATGGGTTAACCCCAATCCACTCAGCTCTAATCCAAATGTGAATATTTCAACCATGGTTCTAGTGTTGTATTTGTTCTATTAGAGATATGGATTATTTTGAAGTAAAATCATTCTAGTTTATTTTATTAATAATACAAAAGTATTCCGATTGTTTTTAGTAAATTTATTAAGTACATATATACTATTTGAACCTGATCGAGTATGGTGTTAACCTGATGGGCAAGATTGAATTCCAATCTGATATTAGATTGATTTTGTTTTTTTTTTTTTGGGGGGGGGTAGCCATTAACCCATCTCCTACCCCATAAGCCTTGTTTTTTAACCGTAATGTCCAGACCTCTGCTGCTTGAGCATTGTTTACTATCTTTATCAATGTTGTTTCTGGTTGTTATTTGCGCAGGTTAAGGCAATGCAGGATCCAGAAATCCAGAATATCCTTTCTGATCCAATAATGAGACAGGTAACTTGATGGTGTTGTTTTTAGTTTGTGCTGTGCATAGTTTAAGCGATACATTTGCTATTGTACAGGTGTTGATCGACTTCCAGGAGAACCCGAAGGCTGCACAGGAGCATCTGAAGAACCCTCAGGTGATGCACAAGATACAGAAGCTGGTTAGTTCAGGAATTGTTCAAATGAGATAAAGAAACCTTGAAAGCAAGAACATGGAAGGTGACAAGAACAAGCATCAAGCTTTAATTGAGTGTGGTGTTATATTGTGTATTTCTCCCCATGTTCATTTTAGTGGACGTAGTGGTGATACTGATCTTTGGAAATTTTGAATTGCGGTGGTTCAGTTTCATTTTGTGGGGATCTTTGCCAAGTTCAATTTAATCAGTGATTCAGTGTGATGGTGATTTTTTTAGTACTCTCTCTCTCTCTCTGGGTATGCGGGTTTTTCAGTGGGTAATGGAGTCTGTGTTTATCGCTATTCGTTGGAGTCGGGCATATTTGCCGGATTGGCATGGGGTCCGATCTTGAGCAGTTGTGGGCCTTGTGGCTTATAGTCGAGAACAGACAGACAGCATTGTTTGTACCATTTCTGTTGCCTGTTCATACGTGAAACGTTGTGAGTTCAATACAAATTGGGGGAGACGTGTTATCAGTTTATCACATCACATATGATCGTTTCAGCTAGAATAATTAAACATTACCCCCTGGAGTAAGAAATATCAAATTGTACAAACAACCTCCGGACATACATTCTTAAGGTATGCCTATTTCTATACGCTGGAGTCAGAAATACCTGCTTCTCATATTGTAGGGTTCGACTGTGATGTAAAAGATATGATATCTGAAAAATCTGACCAGTTAATCAGGATCGTAAATGTGGTGGCCAATATTTATCAAAATTCATGGATGGGTTTTGATTGGTCAATCAGGTGTTATCAAGGTTCAAACTATTGATACGTATCGGCTAATACATATTGTGCTGGTGGCTTCTTGATATGTCTCTACAGGGATTGTATCGGATCAGCTACTAGTTCAGAGGGTAGTTGGGCCTTAAATTGACCTTTCTGAACCAATTTTGAAAAAAAAAGTAATACATATTAAAAAAACACCGATACAGGCCATGTAGAACCTTGGGTGTTATATATATATATTATTTTATTTTATTTTTATGCGTAAGTATATCGTTATTACATTATCTAGTGCAAAGCACTCTAGTAATTGCATTTGGTGGGATTTTCATTTCCAAAAAAACACATGATAAAAGACAAGAATTTCATGCATGGCAACATTATTTCAGCCAAACGGGCTGATGATTTGCTTGAATGTTATGATGGCAAAAGAGGGTTCTGGGCTCGGCCTATCTCGGGCTTAGTTGGTAGTCACTAATCAGGCAGACCTATTTGGAGGCTTGCAACTTTGCATTGGAAATATATCCCATAAAATAAAATAAATCAGACAAATACAGCCACGCAAGGCTGTTGGAACGGTGTTTGCCTGACCGAAGCCGGCCTCTGAAGTTGGAGTTGGAGATTGAGTATGAATGAGTGCATTCCTGATTGTGATTCATCATCCCCCCGTTTTGTCCGCGGGGCCCAATTACTCCTCTTTGAATTGAGGTTGAGGTGTCGTCTGGTTGATTGGGATTCAAGGTGTTTGTTTTTTTGTACGGGGGATCCTTTGCATCCGTAATACACATATAGCATTTTAATTAGTTTACGTCCTTCGTCGACTACTTTTCGTCATCTTCACTCGTCGTTAATTTATGCAGCCAAAGTGTGCGTGTGTGGGCAAAAAAGGTTAAACGTATGTAATGTAAGTTAGAGAAACGATTGGAGTTGGACTGCATATGCGTGCGTAGCTTGCTGCGCAATGAAACGCACCAACCATTAAAATTGTAAAACGGTTGGTCAAGACTCAAGACTCAAATTGGAGATTGTTATACGGCTCTTAAGTCTTAACTTGGCTAATCAAATTCAAAGGTTTTTTCATATCATAATGGAGCGCATTTATGCATTGTATCTCGCTGTGTCTGCGGCGGTAGATTGGAATTGGTTCAATTCAATTCCCTTGGTTTCTTCTTTTCTGTTTCTCAAACAAATTAAGACTGTGCTTGTGCTAATTCTTTCTAACTTCTTCTTCACGGATCGTATGTTTCGAAAGGATCCCCTTCTACGGTTCCACCTCCCCTCCGATAATTTTTAATATGGGACTTAATTGATACCCCTGGCCTTACAATGAATGTACAAATATGCATACCCAAGAGATGTAACATGCAAAGAGTAGTACATCTGTTACGTGTGATGGAAGGAGGAATTTTAATGAATTTGGTTAACACCTGACTACAATACAAGGAGTAATCAACCTCATCTTTTGCTTCGTTTGTTTGTAATATAATTTACTTGCACCGGTACAATTGCATTAGAAGATTACAAACTTTGATTCACTTTTTCTAATTAATTCAGGAATTATTTTACTTTAATTGCATTGCAAACAAACAAAACATAACAACACCTAACACGAATAATATAAGCAATCCAATTCATTCACACTCCCATACAAATGAAATTGCAACAAACTACACCAACCTCATTCTCATTTGGAGATAAAATTTTTCTACTTTTTTCATTACGTACGGGCAACGTTCAACCTCTCACCTCACGACTCTTTTCAAACAGCTCTTGAAACCATTTGGTTTTCTTAATAAAGCAAGGGTATATAGGTTGGAGCTGACTTAGACTCAAACGTCAAAACCCAAATTTGCTAACACATTAATGAATGTGTGAGAAATAAGGCAACAAACAAGTACGTGTAAGCATTAAGGTGAGATGCTTCTTGGCGTCCTTCATTCATTTATACACTAGCGGGGATCCGTGCAACGCACATGTAGTTTTAAGCAAAAACAAAATAATAAAAATTTAAATTTAATTTTTAAGTTTAGATCTTTTGATTAATCGATGGAATTGAAAACCGATTCAAACCAATACAACCTGAGTTGGTCAATTTTTACTGATGGTCAGTCGGTTTCACGTGACCAATTACCCAATCTGACCGGGTCGATTTGGTTGGCTAAGTAGCCTGTAATCGAATCGAATTGACTTGTGAACACTCCTAATTTTAGCTAAATTAATAGTCTAAATTTCTAATAAATAACAATAGTTTAACCTCCAATAATTATTGAAATTTAAGTGAAAATACACATTTATTGAAAATAAATTTATAATGAAAGTACAATAAATAAATAATAAAAATTCAATAAATAGAATAATTACAAAATACAATAAATACTGAAAATATATTAAATTAGTCAATAAATAGTTAATCTCAAATAATAGTTTAATCTCTAATAAATATTATTCAACAAATTATAACAAAATACATAATTACTAAAAACAAATTTATAACAAAAATACAATAAATACAAGAAGTACAACAAATTAAATTTAAAAAGTTAAGAAATAGTAGTTAATCTCCAATGATTATTGAAAAAATTTCTGTTAAATAAAAAATATATATTTATACATAATTATTGAGAATATATTTTTTTCAAAAAATGCAATAAATAATTACTGAAAGAGAATAAAATTAATTTTAGCATATATAAATATATAATAAATATTGATTAAGATTTTAAAATTATTATTAGTAAATATTATTTTTTTGAAAGTTATTTTTCTAGAATTATTAATCGATATAAGTGAAATTTGTTATTTACAATATTATTTAGTTATTTAAATAATAATATTATTTAAAATTTAAAAATATTAATTATTTACTGAATTTAATAGTCCATAAAAATTATTATAAATTTGTATATCATGAAGTCTATTATAATTAGTTTTCTACGTTTAAGAAAATTTTTAAACTTATTACATAATTTTGTTATTTTAACTTTTTAAAATTTAGTTATGTTAAATGTTTTTTATTTAAAATATTTAGTTATTTAAGTATTTAAATAATATGTATAATATTTAAAAAAATTATTTATTTTAAAGTTATTATGTAATTTTAAATATTTTTATATAATTATTTAGCTATTTCTAATATTTTGTTATTGAAATATTTAAATAATATTTTATTATTTGAATAACATTTAAATTGAATAATCCATAACATTATTATTTATATTGTCTGTACATAACTTCATGATGAATTTTATAAAAATATACAAATATTAATAATGTGAACATTATGAAATCCATGAAAATTAGTTTTTCTTTGTGTTTTTAATAAATATTTTAAAGTTATTATATAATTTCATTATAATATTTAAATAATTCTTAAAATTTTTAATTCAAACTTTCTTTACATAGATATAGATAAAAAGTGGGGGAGAAGATAAATAGGAATTAGATATAATTTAGGAGAAAGTGGGGATAGTGGTGCCACTTGGCTAGACATTAAAAAAGCAAATCCCTCTCTTTACCTACTGGTTGTTAGAGATAATTTAGCCTAAGGTGTTTCCTTATTGGTTTAATGGGTAATTATGTGAAATTAAAAGAATAAAAAAATGAAGAAAATAGGAAATTAGGAAGGGGGGTTTGGAGCAACTAGAATAAACTCTTCCGTCATCTTACAAGGTGCCTCAAGGTAGGGGTGTCAATTGGATTGGATTTGTTCCAATCTGATCCAGTCCAATATGAGTCTATTACAAATAGACTAGGTCCAATCCATTTGGCTGAATACTTTAGACCGGTCAATTCAATATCTGGACCGTCCAATTTGTTCAAATTGGTTTTGATTTAGATTGATTCCAATCCAAGACTGGACTATTGATACTTGTATTCTTAATGGACTAGATATTGTTCAGTCTGACCCAATCCAATAGAAATCTATTACGGATGGGCCAGGTCCAACACAATCCATTAAATACTTTGGACCATCAAGTCCGGACTGCTTCTCCAATTCAATATATCTTATTGGTTCGTCCGATTCATCCAAATTGATTTTGATTTGGATGGGTTCAACCCAAAACCGGTCCATTGACACCCCTACGGGTACGTATTAGTGTATACAGTGAAATAAAATTGAAGATCATGATTTTTAAAACCGACCTGGAGACCGAACTGGTCAGGGGTCCGTTTACCGGATCGAACGGTCCAACAGTTTGAACCGAACGATCAGCCCGTTTTGACAAAAAAAATAAAGAATTAAAAAAAAAGTCAAAACCGTTCGAATGGTTAACCATCTGGGTCAGTGGTTTGCTGACTAAAATCAACGGTTTTGGGCAAATTTCCGGTTTTGGGGAAAACCGAAACCGATCACCTAACTGGTTCCCGGTTTTTCTGGTTCAACCGTCTGATCCGGTCCGATTTTGAAAACCATGTTGAAGATTGAGTCAGTTTGGGTTTATCTCATATCTCTTCTAACGTGTAATTCTCACAATTAAGCAATGCATTTTATTTAGCTGTACTTCTGATATTTGATACAGGGATGCGTGCCCGAGTTATGTGTGACTCACTTGTGAAGATAAATTTCTTTCCAGGATTACAATAACTATAAAGTCTATCAATCTCCTTATCTTCTCAAGTAAAGAGAAGAGATGCATCATCTTCTTAGTTCTTACTCTTACGCTTCTATAGATAGGATAGGATACGACATTGATAGGTCAATTGACAGAGACATTGATTTTCTGGAAATAAGATAATTTGAGAGATGGGTCGATCATCAATTCGCCTAGCGTTGTTTTTCGTTGCATCTATGATCACGGTGCTGGGAGTGCAGGCTTCACACGATTATGGCGATGCTTTGTCTAAGAGTATTTTGTTCTTTGAAGGCCAGCGGTCTGGGAAATTACCCGTTTCTCAGAGGATGAAATGGAGGAAAAATTCTGCTCTTCACGATGGTGATCAGATTGGTGTAAGTGTTCTCTCTCTCTCTCTCTTCTTCCCAGGTGGGAAAAATCGATCTTCACAAACAAATCATGGTTTGAACTATACTGGGTTGTTGAACATCAATTCTCTATTGCCTTCCTTACCAGCAAAACATTAGAATTAATGTGTTTCAACACCCCTATATTTTCTTGCTCATGTTTTCATTTTGTTTATAGTGATTCAGCGCCCATGAAAATGTTAGTTTGATGCAAGAAAATCCCTGTTTCTGAAACCAAAAAAAAAATGTTTTCAACTTTTCATATCTGGAAGACAGGTTATGGGTTATCCGTTATCGTCCCACATTATTCAAATGGGCTTGTGTCCAAAATATAAGGTGAATTAATTGGTATCCATCTGATTAGAATTAATCTCTATCCAAGATGCTCTGTGCTTAATTTATCAAACATAAATTCAAAGTTCAAACTACGAGAGTAAAGAACGCTTTCAAAACTGCACATGGCAAAGAGACCGGTCGTAAAACAATTTGCTTTGTCACTACTTAACAGATCATTATGTCAAGCTTAATTAATCAGATGACTAAGTTCAAATATTATCTACTCATGTTAAAATTTTGTTGTTGGACCGGTTGTGTGTTGATATATAGTTCCTGGTCGTAAGTTTTGGTCCCTAAGCGGAGCCTGCCCCATTTCAGGTCCTGTGGCCCTGAGGGCTGAGGCCCAGAATCATTAATTCCATGTGTGATGTGTCTGTCATGGGTCGGGTCGGATGTATAATACCCACCACAAGTAACTCAGAGGGTGCGTAGCGTAGACGATTGTGATTGTGAAGGAGAATGGGTTATCTTATAATTTGCAAAATGGATCATGAAATCAGGTAGATTTGGTGGGAGGGTACTATGATGCTGGAGACAACGTCAAATTTAGCTTTCCCATGGCTTTCTCGACTACAGTGTTGGCATGGAGCGTGTTAGAGTTTGGCAAGCTCATGGGTCCGGATCTGCAATACGCCATGGAAGCGGTTCGCTGGGCTACAGATTACTTTCTCAAGGCCACTAGCGTTCCAGGCTTTGTAATTGCTCAGGTTGGTGATCCCTACGGTGACCACAACTGTTGGGAGAGGCCGGAGGACATGGACACCCCTCGAACTCCCTACGCAGTTAGCAGGAAGTACCCTGGCTCTGAGGTCTCCGCTGAGATTGCCGCAGCACTCGCAGCCTCCTCCTTGCTCTTCAAGACCTCTAATCCTCGTTACTCCGCCAGGCTCCTCAACAGAGCAACCATGGTAATTAATTATTATTTTACTAACTACTGACCTGCAGGTTTTATTTATTTATATTTATCTCTCTCGATCGATCCCCTCTTATTAACTACTCTTTGATTCAGATCGATGATTTTCTGAATCAGCAAGCAATTTCTCTTTTGCATTAATATTAGGTTTTCGATTTCGCTGATAAGTACCGGGGTTCATACAACGACAGTCTTGGGCCGTGGGTTTGCCCTTTCTATTGCAACTTCAGTGGCTACTATGTAAGTTTCAGAAGATTAATTCCTGTTAATGCATGATTCAATAAGCAGTTTTCGTTCGTTTTTCATTCCATCTTGTCTGTCTGTCTCTCAGGACGAACTGTTATGGGGAGCTACGTGGTTATACAAAGCTACCACTTCACCCTACTACCTCAACTATGTTACAAATAATGCACCGGCTCTTGCAACCAACGCAGTTGCAGCTGCTGGCTTTCATAAATATAGTAACTTCGCTGAATTTGGGTGGGATACAAAGGATGCCGGCGTTAATGTACTTGTCTCCAACGTAAGCACATCAGGACCTCACTTTAACTACTGTAATTATATTTCTCTACCACACACCAGTCCCTCTGCTAATTAGTTCAGTCGAATTGAATGATGATTTTCTTCCTGTTGTTGTTTTTTACAGTTGCTGATGTCTGCAAAGGCAAATTCTAATCCTTTCCACTCGAACGCCGATAAATTTGTTTGCTCCATACTGCCTGAATCGCCCACAAAAAGCGTCACCTACTCACCAGGTTTTCTATTTCCTGCAATTCAAATTGATCTACTGCTCTTGGAAGAACTCTCATGCATCATTGAATTTATTCCTCGTAGGTGGGCTACTGTTCAAGACAGGAGGAAGCAACATGCAGCACCCAATATCTCTTTCATTTCTTCTTCTTGTTTATGCTCGCTATTTGAGCAATGCCAATTCAGTCGTCCATTGTGGTAACATTGTTGCTCCTCCATCTAGGCTTATTCAAGTGGCAAAACGCCAGGTGAGCAAATGTTTGTTTTCCTGCTCCCAGTCTCATTCTTTCAATTCTTGCTCACTTGGGGCAAGAGTGGCAAGAACGAATGACATTAGAGCCTTTGGTTACAAAATTCTTGCCATCAGCCCCATTCTTTTAAAAATGAAAAATCAGCCCATAGCACAAAAATTAAAGTAGCCTCATGAAAAATAATCCTGCTCCATCTTGCTCATTTTCATTCTATAAAGAAATTCTTTGCCAACGGTCATAAACCGTCAACCTAGCTAGGTCTACAAAACCACTATCATTCATGTTTATTAGTGGATTGTCATGGAAACTTACACAAATGGACAATGACTGTTGGCCATCCACAGGTAAACATTTATGTCAATGGTTTTGGAGACTTGGGTTAGCAGTTTATGACCACTGATACATAACTTGTTTTTTTTTTAAGAATGCAAATGATCAACATAAGGCACTTCTGGCCTGAAAAGAATACATTTAATTCATAATAATATTTTCTCATTTTACCCATTTTAAATATTCATCTTAGGTAAGAATGAGAATTGAATCAGACATGACCTAAACCGATCCAAACATTAATCTAAAACATCCATTAATCGAACAAATAATCTATTGAGTAGAATAATGTAACTGAACAAAAGATTTAATTTGGAAATTAAAATGGTGCAGGTAGACTATATACTCGGAAACAACCCACTGAATATGTCATACATGGTGGGATATGGGAAGAAATTTCCTCAGAGAATACATCATCGAGCGTCTTCAATACCATCCGTTGATAAACATCCAGCACAAATCAGCTGCAAAGATGGGACTCAGTATTACTTAAGCAATGATCCCAATCCTAACCTGTTAACCGGGGCAGTTGTTGGAGGACCAGACAGCAATGACAAGTATAGTGATTCTAGAGCGCTGTTTGTGCAATCGGAACCCACAACATACATAAACGCACCTCTTGTTGGCCTATTGGCATACTTCAAATCAAGCCCTGTTTGATTGTTGTGATCATGTAAATATATAGTTATAGTCATAGTTATATATATTTTATGAAAACCATTGATCCAATTTGGGTCTAGGTTTGTTGGAAATTGGAATCTCCTTTCCACTCATAATTTTCCATACCAAGTACTGATAATCCAACATTACTCTTCTATATTCTCTACATGTCAAAAATTTTTAAGTAAAAATCTAACTGTTTCGTCGGGAAATACATGTTTCCTGGAAAACTAATGAGAAGTTGTGGGAATTTTTTTATTTTTTTTAAGGACGGAACTTCACAAAATGCCTTGAGGACTTTCCCATGATTTTCCATTTCTTACCAATTTTTTGTTCATTTGAAATCGAAAAAAAAACTGACATTTTTGCAAGTCATGGAATTTATAATTTTAATTGAAACTTTTTAGGATACGAAAGGATATTTCACTTTGTATAGGATTCCCTACCTTTTCCTGTTGTTTCTTTCAAACCAAACACAGCCTTCAGATTACAAAGGAAACTTGATGGTGAACAAGAAAAAGTCCAATCCAATCTCACTTTAGATGCATGCATGGCTGACATGGGAAGTTATTATTGGTTAGACATCTCCTAACACATCAACGGAATCTCCCTATGTGTAAATGTAATAATACTACAGAAAAAAAAGTTAAAATACAAAAATCTATATTTATACTACAATTAAAAGTGTGAATATGAGTGTAGAACTTTTGTTTAATTAAAATGTTGCAATTGTTTAAAAATGTAATTTGAGTAACCACTTTTAACTTCATTCAAATCTTTCTCATTAAATCTTATATTTAAGATATTAACTCTCGTTAATATTTATTGAATGCTGTTCTAGAATACCCCTATAAACTTATGGGTTATATATCCCTCTTTTGATTTTAAATTGCAAAACAAATGATGGCAAAAGTGATCATATTTTACTTCTCATTGAATGCACCTCTAGAAAAGATATAAAACAGCGCTGTTTAATTTATGTTTGTGTACAAATTTTGTAAGGCTTTTTCTGTCATAATTTATATTGATAGGGCTACACAACGGGGTAGCCACTTGGTGGACCATAATTTCTATTCTTTTTAGAGGAAAGCCATAAATTTCTATTCAGTTACATGTTAGTTTGTCTTCTTTTATGGAGAGACCGAATATGGCTACAGGCCATACACACTTTTTAGAAATGAGAATATTGTATTCTCTTTTTACAATTTCACTCTAAAACAAAAAAAATAAAGGTCTGTCATATCACCTTAACCGGCTCTAAAAAATAGGGTAAAATATAAAAACCATTTGAAAATCATAAAAACCTCTCTTGAGGTTTCACTTTCATAAAAACTTTCCCCGCATGTATAGTTTATCAAAAACCTGCAGTTACCTCCTTTCCATCTTTGTTCCTGTAAGGAAAGCTTCAGAGTTATGAAATTACCCTTACAACTTATCAGGGAATCTTTCAATATAATTTGAAATATCATATTTGCCCTTTTGAATTTCACTAGTCTTTTTTATATAGAGTAAAATTACTTTATTCTTTTCAATCTAATTTGGAGATCTTTTGATATTAAAAGTGAAAAATTCTTTTGGAGGTATTTTAGTACATTTCCATGTAAATTGACAGATGTTAGGGTTAAAATGGGTATTTTTGAAAAACTAATGTATTAGACCAACATTTTTTGTCCATGACAATATAAAAAGGGAGGTAACTGTAGGTTTTTTCAATACTACAAGGGAGGTTTTTGTAAAAATGAAACCATGAGGAGGCTTTTATGATTGTCCGAAACCTTAGGGGAGGTTTTTATGTTTTACCCCTAAAAATAAAATACCGGAAAAATTTATAACCAACCAATTGACATCATAAAAGTAGAAACCAATTAGGTGGATTTTCACCAAAATTCACAGGGTGTTGTGATTGGTCAAAGCCTTTTCAATATGATATCTTTCCGGCATCAATGATTTTCCCTTTTTTAATTCGACCCCTCTAATGTTAAAGTAGAAAACGTTATTTGAACAAGCACATTTTAGTCTATCCTATTCTCTTTCATTACTCATTAACTCCTATATTTAAGGCATTTTTAGTCCTCACAATTAAATCTACTAATTAATTTTGATGGTACAAAAGTCAATGTTTATAAAACCAACTTAGAATGGAAACCATTTTCCATTTGGGTGAAAGGCTAGTGATTCAACCATTTGGGTCAAATAAATCAATCATTGACATCATTATTAATAAAAGTTAAAAAAATAAATATAAAAAATTTAAAAATTTGATAGAAGAATTGGGGACATCTTTTCATCGTAGTAAATAAAAACAAATGGGATTAATATAAGCACTGTTTTAAATAAGATGGAAATGAGATACATAAAAAGAATTAATATCTTAACTTCTAAAGTACCTTGCTGACCAAGTCAAATAGTTCAATGGTTGGGGAACTAGGTCATTGACCAGTCAACAATTTCTTTCAAGAAAACAAATTGGTAAGGGAATGGACATAGAATCCTATAGTTTTGGATGACAAATTGACTAATTCAAGGTACTGATTCAACTGTGAGAGTTAAAAACACTAGTAGAAACCAAAATTGATTGGAAATTATATTTCCCCCTAGGTGACCAATCAACAGTTCAATCATGTGGTTCAAACAAGTCAACCTTAGAATGTTATATAAATGAATTAATAAGATATAAAACATCAAACTTTTTAGAAAATTTATAAAAATTATTAGGCATGTTTAAAATATCATATATTTATCATATTAAACAAAATATATTCGATAAATAAGAATTATTGTTATTAATGATGAAAATATCTAAAAATCAAGAAAAACCGAAAAAGTAGTCTAATTTGTGACTTATTGATCAAGTCAAATGGATTGATGGTTTAACTGGTAAAGTTATTTGGTTGTAGACCACATCAATTGCCTTTTTTTTTGCAAAATAAATAAATGGGAAATTGTCTAAAACTCACCACGAGTTTTCAGCATTTCTCTTAAACTCACTACAACTTTTCAAAATGTCTAAAATTCACCATGTCAGTAAGTTTTTATTTTCTAAAACTCACCTTCCGTTAGTGCACCATTAATGTTTCTTAACAGAGGTGTCCATATCAGCATAAATAACAATTTTTATGACCAAATCACCCTTGAATGGCAAGTTAGAGGAAAAAGGGTCTTGTAAAAATTTTAATTTTCTTTTTTTTTTTTTACATTTTAGTGTTTTGTTAAAATTTCTAAAGTTTTTTTTATAATTTCTGTTTTTTTTTTACATTTTTCTATTTTCCACAATCTATAAAATATCCTTTATTTTTTGTTATTTATTTGCAATTTTCTGTGTTTTTCTTTAATTTTTGGTATTTTTTCTACAATTTTTATTTTCTGATTTTGTTTTTCAATTTCTGTAGTTTCTATAATTTGAAAATATATATATATTTTTTATTTTGTGTGCAATTTCTATAATTTTTTATATTTTTTGCAATTTCTTTTTTTTTGTATTTTATATTTGAAAATACTTTTTGAACTTTTTCCTTTTTTTCATAAATATTAAAATATATGTATGTATTTTATATTTTTGTATGAAGGTTAAAATAGTGATATATTAACAACCGTTAGTCTCTTTAACGTCAAGTTAGTGACGTGGTGAGTTTTAGACATTTTGAAAAGTTGTGGTGAGTTTAAGAGAAATGCTGAAAACTCATGGTGAGTTTTTGAAAATTTCTCTAAATAAATAAATAAGTGATAGGCTGAAAGGCTATGAACATTCACATTTACTAGTAAACAAAAAATGTCAAAATAAAATTTAATATAATAATCTTGACATATAAAAATGTGAAGATATTGAAAAATGTAAGAAAATATAAAAAAAATGAGATATAATAAGATATATCTATTAAATAAAATGAATCACTGTAGAGAGATTTAATGAATTAATTAATTGTATGAGCAATAAATATGAAGTAAAAACAAATTTAAGAATATAATTAACTGGCAACATATAATTAAGTTAAGGACACATTGTGATGATAAGATTAATTCTGACATTCTTGTTCCGATAATTTCTACATGAATTTCAGACAATTAGAAGCGGGGGCGGGGAAGTGAAGGGCTATTGGGCTATAGCCACAACAATTAAATTTGCCAAGAATTAACATATAATACCAGATCATTACAACCGTGTGATTTCATTTAAAATTTATTTGGACAGTGAGAGAAACCCCAGTGATCATCAAATCCTTCAAATCAGGTGGTTAGCATAACAACTATTTGATTGTTCAGATTCTCAATGGGAGTAATGGTGCCGTTGTTTAATAAGTTGGGACCCATTTAATGGTGGGTTCTGATCCTTTAGACGCATGGAAAGCGTGGCGACTTGTGGGGCCCAAAACCATATACGTTTCCTGTTTCAGTGTTTCCTCAGACTGGAGGATATTTCCCGTCCACAGAAATCCTCAAATCCCGGCCACCGGCTTTACAGAGAATAAAAACAGTAACAATTATTGAAAGGTTTAAACGTCTGATACAAGTCCTGAGACAGTTTAGACTATTATTACGGGTTAATTTGTATTCCTTAATTTCCCAATGGGTTAAATTAATATTGTTTTTGATCATCCAACTGAGCTGCCAATACTTTATCTTATCCATTCAATCTTCTCATCAACGACTTAACCTTGGGTTGAAATGATCAAGAGGCCAGTGCTATCGGAGTTATGGTGGTAATGGGTGTACCCAAGCTTTGCCTTCATTAATATCCCATTACTAAATTTTTAACTAGCAGAGAACTACTTAATGAAGAAAGAGACAAAGCCCGTAATTATTCTGCGTTGTAATGTCTCTCTACCTCAACCTGCTTCACGTAACCTGAGAAGAGAAGCTAAGTAAACTCAGATTACATATGTTTCACCACATTATTTATACCAGCATGCAACTACTGATGGAGACCATCTGAGCTTTTCTTCAAAGAGAAAGAGAGATGGGTTGGTTGATTTCCTTGGTCCTTGTATTGTTGTTATATGTGTCAAACGAGATGACGTTGAGGGTGGCTTCACAAAGGCCGCAGCATAACTATGCAGACGCACTGGCTAAGAGTATCTTGTTCTACGAGGGCCAGAGGTCAGGTAAGTTACCGGCTTCACAGCGAATGAAGTGGAGGAAAGACTCCGGCCTACAGGACGGCCATGACCTTAATGTGAGTTTCTTTTATATAAAATATTAATTCTTCCCAATTTCGTGTATCAAACCAACCAACGTTTGTATAGCTATCATCTTTAATTTGTCGGAATGTTGTTTCTCAGGTGGATCTGGTGGGAGGTTACTATGATGCTGGTGACAACGTGAAATATAACTTCCCGATGGCATTCTCGACGACAATGTTGGCATGGGGCGTATTGGAGTTCGGAGGCTTTATGAGTTCAGAACTAAAACATACAGAGGAAGCAATTCGATGGGCAACGGATTACTTGCTGAAATCCACGCAAACTCCCGACGTGATTTATGTTCAAGTGGGGAACCCTTACGACGACCATGATTGTTGGGAGAGGCCTGAGGACATGGACACACCTCGAACCGTTTATTCTATTACTAAACACCGCCCTGGTTCAGAGGTTGCAGGAGAGACGGCAGCGGCGCTTGCTGCTTCTTCCATTGTTTTTAGATCGTCAGATCCTTCTTACTCACTCAGGCTTCTGAACAGGGCGAAAGAGGTATATATATATACACGAAGTTGAATGGCATGATTCATTTTTCTGCTGCTGCATCTTCTGCTTGTAGTTCTGTTAGTGCTTAATCGGTCTAAGAACCAAATCTCATATAAAAAAAATTTCGAGAGAAATCGCATTTTTTTGATGATTGGCCCGGTCCGGTCTCAGCAATGATAAGGGTTATAGTAGGGGTGATCATTTCAGCCCGGCCCCGGGCCCGGGCCCATATCAGGCCCGCAAATTTTAGGGCCGGGCTTGGGCTTAATACTTCAAGTCCGGCCTGGCCCGCATATATTTAAATTTACACATTTTGTGTATAATATATACATATGTATACATGTTATTTTACATTATATTATATATTTTATATATAAATATTATAACATGACATGTATAATTTATATTATATGTAATAATTTATATTATATAATATATAAAGTAAAAGTTTATATGCACGTTATGTCATTTAATATAAAATATTATAGATATATAATGTTTTATATACGAAAGACATTGGCCCAGAATCAGGCCCAGCCTAGCCCGGGCCCATGTAAACTTGGGCTAGGGCTTATGTTACAGGCCCGGAACCCTGGGTCGGGCTGGGCCCGGGCCTAAGCTTTAGCACTTATCATAAGTGCAAAGCTCGGCTCAGGCCCGTGTAGACCTGGGTTAGGGCTTATGTTATAGGCCCGGAACCCCGGGTCGGGCCTATGCTTTAGCACTTATCATAAGTGCAAAGCTCGGCCCGGCCCAACCCATGATCACCCCTAGGTTATAGCCTGGTCGGAATCCTGGGCCCAGGTTATATATATATATATCCACCCAAGAAGGAAAGTAGTTTGATTTCTAGATTGACATTAAATTTTGTATTACATTTCCATCATTGATAAAATTATTTCTTATGTATAATAATTATTTTTGTTCAATATAATGAATGTATAATATTAGAGATGTACCTAATATTTCATTTTTGTATAAATATATAACATTAGAGATGTTCCCAAAATTTTCTCTATTTTTTTTTTATTTTTGTGGTTCTCTATATTTTCTATTTTTTAATTTTTTTTATTTGACTATGACATCATTTCATTTCTAGGTTGATTTTAAATTTGGCATTTCATTTTCATCATTAATGAAATACTTCTTATAGTTCATACTTATTTTTGTATAATATAATGATTATACATTATTAGATATATGCCCAATTATTTTAATTTTTTGTATTATATGTTTTATTTAATTTAATTTTTTATTATTTAATTATGACATTATTTATTAGCCCATTTAACCCCAAATGGTTGAATTGCCTACCCACCATCGGTTGGGAAAAATGGTTTTGTTTTCAAATTACTTATCAAAATATTTATTTTTATACTAGTAAAATTAATGTTGTGGATTTAATTAGTAGAATTTAATGATGAGAAAAATATATCTTAAATATAGGATTTAATGAGAGAATATACCTTAGATATGAGATTTAGTGAGAGAGAAGAGAAAATAGTTTTATTTCCAATTGGTTTTAAATTTTAATTCTATTGCCATAATTAATAAAGATATTTCTTATTTATCATACTTATTATCGTTTAGTATATTGAATATGTCATGTTAAAAATCTTCCCAATTTTTCTTTTAATTTGTATATTTTTTTTTGCATTTTATCTATTTTTGAATTTTATTATTTAATTATCGCAACATGGATTGACTCATTTGACCCAAAATGGTTTAATTTCTTACTTCCACTTAGATGAAAACACTATTTTTTTAGATAGATTTTAAAAGCATAAGTTTTTATATTATTGGAATTATTAATTTATAATGTATAAGCTTAATTAATATAGTTTAATGATGAGAATAAACAAAAATTCCTTAAATATAAGATTCAATGAAGGTGAATGCAAATTAATACCTTAAATGTAATGAGAGAGAATTGAATGCATTGAATATCTTAAAAGTATCTATTTTCAATTCATTTAATATCAATAACCAATTGCCCTATTTGCCATCATTTTTTATCAATAAATTTAAATATTGAGGGATAAATTTTATCTTCAGAAAATTTCAAAAATATTCTTGAGACTATTTGTGCTTTTTAAAATAGTGTAGATATATAAAAGATCTATACTTAACTGTGAGTGTATGTGTATTAGGTTTTCCGTTTTGCAAACATGTACCAGGGATCATATAACGATAGCCTTGGCAAATGGGTTTGCCCTTTTTATTGTAATTGGAGTGGATACAAGGTATCATCATCATCCTTCAAGCCTTATCCCAATTATATGGGATTGGTTACACGAATCCTGTTTTGTCACTTTGTTATGTTTAATGCTATATCTATTGCCAAATTATGATCACTTAAATCATTTCTTACTATTTTGATTGTTGTATGCCAAATGTTAATTAGAGATTTGAGACTTTTAACTCTTCAATTGGCAAATTTTCCATGGCTTACATTCTTTTACAAGTCTAATTATATGTTATTGGTTGTGCTGAAGCAGCATATAATTCTCTGTTGGGTTTCTTGTAGGATGAGTTGGTCTGGGCAGCTGCATGGTTACAAAGGGCTACCAACCATAGATATTACTGGAAATATATAAAGAAGAGCCTAGCTTATTTTGAACCGGGTTATCAAGCTAAAGGCAATTCTTACGTTCAGATAGCTGATAACACTGGAGAATTTGGTTGGGACAATAAGCATGCTGGTATCAATGTTCTCGTAGCAGATGTACGTCCTGATTGAACAACATTAGTCACCACAAGGTTTTTAAAACCGATCCGGAGACCAAAACGGTCAGGGGTCCGGTTCTTGGGTCAAACAGTCGATTTTTTGAATTGAACAATCAGCCCATTTTGACAAAAAATAAAAAAAATAAAAAACGGTCAAAACTGTTGAATGGTTTGAACAGTTCAACCACCCAGATCAGCGGTTTACTAACCAAATTAACGTTTTTTTACAAATATCCGATTTTGGAAAAAAATGAAACTGGTCACCTAACTGGTTCCCGGTTTCCGGTCCAACCTTCCGGTCCGATCCGGTTTTAAAAACCATGAGTCACCATATATTTATCTCCATAAATAACCGATGAAGAGATTTCTTCAATAGGCTCTCTGTTATCTTGACATTTCTTGTTTTTTCATGGTAGACATTTCCATCAAGGATCGAAGCCAATGATGTCGAACTGTTCCATTTCAGTGCTGACAAATTTGTTTGCACTGTTCTTCCCGAATCACCAACGAAAGGCGTCCAATACTCACCAGGTATATTTCTAATTAATAACAAACAGATCATGATGGATGTTCGTTAATTATGTCAATTAATGTTCTGATCGACAATGTTTATTGATACTGATGAATGGGATCAAACTCGCTCGCACCAATGGAACTTCTGAAATTAAAATGAACGCATGGCGCAGGTGGGCTTCTATTCAAACCAGGAGGAAGCAACATGCAGCACGTAACAGCTCTGTCATTCCTTATCCTTGTTTATGCTCAGAAACTCAGTGCCAACAAGAGAGTTGTTCGATGTCAAGACAAGGTTACCGATCCAAACAGGCTCATAGAGCTGGCTAAAAGCCAGGTAACATATAACAAGAGTAATGAACAAATTAATAATATAATTGAAAAGCTGTTTTATATTACGTACATATATATGCTTTGTGATTACTGATTGATATATATTTGGTTTAATTAGGTGGATTACATACTGGGACACAATCCTTTGAATATGTCCTACATGGTGGGATATGGGAATAAGTTTCCACAGAGGATTCATCATCGAGGTTCTTCATTGCCGTCGGTTGATGCACACCCAGGACACATCGGATGCAAGGATGGGACTCCATATTTTGCAAGCAAGGATTCCAATCCTAATGTGTTGATAGGGGCTGTAGTTGGAGGACCTCAACCTGATGATTCATACCCTGACGATAGAGCCCAATTTCAAGGATCAGAGCCCACTACATATATTAATGCGCCTCTTGTGGGTCTATTAGCCTACTTCAGTTCTCATCCGATGAATTAATTAGCTTCTCTACTGACCTACTGACCTCCATCTTCAAGTTTCACAATTTGGGATACATGTGTCTTGGTTTTGGGGGAGGGGGGATTCTCATGTATATGATGTATTCATGTATCATGACTCTGTTCAGGCTCCAAGCCTCCATTCATAGTTTCAACGGCTCAAATAAAATCTGCTCTAATTAATCATTTTTACATTTACTTTTTTACAAAAACCATTTTAATCCAATTGTTTAATTCAACTGAGTATGATTCCCCTCCAAGTGCAAGAAGATTAAAAAATGGATGCACATATTGCTTTATCAAAAAAATATGTCTGGAATGTCTATATATTTCCCCATCTAAAATTATACTTTGATTCTTAATGTATGAGAGTTGGGTAGAAACAAAACAGAATATTCCTTCTTGAACACCAAAATGACCAAAAGAAAAAGGACGAGGATTTTGGACTGTATTTTGCTTTCTACCCACCTCAAGATTTTTAAATCAATGAAACTAATCAGCGAAAGGCTCTTGAGGATTCTAGATGTGCTGTGCGCCGGACAACATCAAACTTAGCTAAGTGCATGGTGTAGGACGCGGGAACAGATCTAGTAGGCACAATATAAGTAAGTTGCAACCCTTAACATTTTTGCTCGTTGGGGATCTGATAATCACCCTCTAATCCTTGATATATCCCCAAAAAGAGATCAGCATTCTAAACCCTTCAAATTCTTTGAAATGTGGCTCTTGGATGAATCCTGTAAATCTGAGATAATGAATAGTTGGAATTTTCCTAACTGGATATGTGGCATTTAGAGTCTTTTCAAAGATGGACCAAATAAAAAAGAATCTCATTAATTGGAAGAAAACCAAATTTACTGATCCCAATCATCTCTTGCATCAACTGGAATCCCAAATACTTCAGTCTGAACAGAATACTCCTTGGAACCATATGGAATTAAGATCTCTATACAAAAAATATGATGAAACACTTTTTTCAAATTAAAAGTTTTTGGAGACAAAAATCCAAACAACTCTAGCTAAATGTGGAGATAGAAATACTAATTACTTTCATAAAAGTACAATAGGTTGTTAGAGAAGAAATGAAATTCAAGGAATTCGAAATGATCAAGGGACATGGATGACTGATCATAAGGATATAGCTGGCACCTTTATTGACTATTTTTCAAATCTGTTTAATCATCGTTCTTCCCCTGACCTAGACTCTGTTACCGATCTTTTTAACCCCATCATAACCGAGGAAGATAATTAGATGTTAACTGCTGTCCCTTCTGAAGAAGAGGTCAAATCAGCTCTATTTAGTATAGGGAGTCTAAAATCTCTTAGACCAGATGGCATGCCTACTCTGATATACAAAGAATTTTGGGATTTGATGGGCGATGATATCATAGCTTTGTTAATGATTTTTTCCAAAATAGGAATCTTTTGAAATGTCTCAATCATACTTTTATTTGTCTAATTCCAAAAAAGGAAAATTATACCACAATTCAGGATTATCTTTTAATTAGTCTTTGTAATGTGTTGTACAAAATCCTTTAAAGAATTCTAACTAATAGACTTCGTACTATCCTGGATAAATGTGGGTACCTCTCCTAACCAATCAGTTCTTATTCCAAGCCGTCAAATGATGGATAATACCATTATTTCCCATGAGATGTTCCACTACCTGAAACATCATAGGAAAGGTACAAGCTATGTAGCTATTTAACTAGACATGGCAAAAGCTTATGATTGTCTCAAGTGGTTTTTTCTCTTTGAAATTCTCAAAGCTTTAGGTTTTGCCCCAAAATTCTGCCAAATCATTCATGAATGTATTTCTTCAGTATCTTATTCTATTCTCATCAATGGTTTTGTAGAGGGTCGGATCTTACCCACTAGAGGTATCAGGCAAGGAAACCCTTTATCTCCTTACCTCTTCATTATTTCCATGGAATACTTCAGTCGTATGATTTCTAAAGCTGAAAATAACAATCAAATCCAAGGTTTAAAAATTTCACCTCAAGCCCCTACCATCAATCACCTTTTATTTGCTGATGACATTCTTCTTTTCTTAAGAAGTCATAGAGATGAATTGGACTCTGTTAAGAACCTTCACCAATTTTAAAATCTTTCAAGTTAGCTCATTAAGTTGGACAAATCCGGTATTTATTTTAGCAAGAATACTCATTCAAAACATCAATGTATGATTCGAAGATAGCTCCAAATGAAAGCTCTGCTTGAAAATTCAAAATATTTAGGTCTCCCTCTAATCTGGGGACGCAACAAGCATTCCTAATTCTCCTTCATTTTGGATACTCTTAAGAATAAACTCAATAAATGGAAATCTTCCACCATTAGTCAAGCAGGTAAACGAGTTCTGATAGAACCGGTCCTTCAATCCATTCCTTCTCATTCCATGTTTATGGCTCAATTACCTCAGAAAACAATCAATGAAATTGATCAAATCGTTAAGAATTTTTGGTGGAATAAATCTGAAAAAAATCCCCATCCTTACCATTGGACTCCTTGGAGTAAACTCATTTTTCCTAAATTAGCTGGTGGATTAGGTTTTTGAAAAACAAAATTAATCAACTATGTCCTTCTTAATAAACTTGCTTGGAGATTTCTTAATAGTCAGCAAGATTGGTGGGCCTAAGTATGAAAATCCAAGTATCTTCCTCGTAATACAAATTTTCCTTACAAAATTTCTCATTCTAGCTCTTATTTTTGGAAATCTTTAACACCCAAATTGCAAAATCTTTTCTCAGAGGTAGGACTTCTAGTTTTGATCTCTTCCATAGATAATATCACTAAAGTTCCTTGGATTCAAGTGAATAACAGCTTTCAACCAATTAATCAACCTATCCCTGATCATTTAACATATACTAATTTCTCTATTCTCATAGTAAATGGTCATTGTAACACTTCTTTAACCCGAAGTCTCATCGACTCTCATAAGATGTTTCAAATTCTAAATACTCCCATATTACCTGCAAATACTCATTTCCACAGGATTTGGAATAAACACACATCTGGAAAATTTAAAACTTCAGCTGCTTACACTGCCTTAATTCAAGAATCTCTTCCTTTTTTTTTCTGATCAAATCAATTTTTGTGCCAAATGGATCTAGAAACTTTCTTGTCCCCCTTGTTATTAGCTTCTTTTTTGGAGAATTATCTATAACTACATCCCTGTAAAGGCTAAAATCCTTCTTGACACTCAAGATTTATCATGTGCTTTTTGTCAAAATCAACTTGAAACTCTAAATCATCTCTTCATTGAGTGTCCTTTTACAAAATATGTGCTTTTTGCCTCTCCCTGGAATATTAATATTATGGAGACAACTCCTTCGTCTTGGATTGACTGTATCATTCATATTGAACACACGAGTCCAGATAAAGATATCTTTCGATTAATACTTTCTTGGTATGCTATTGCTTTATATTATATTTGATATGCTAGAAATGAGAAAGTTTTCAAAGATTCAAATATTTCTAATATTTGGGTTATTAGGAAAACTAATTCTATCTTTCAAGCAATTTCGAACTCTCATCTACACTCAGACTCATATATAAATTTATCACCTCAACTTTGTTTACAAATTAAGCCACATACTAATTGTCTCATTTTCATTGATGTAGGGAAAGTTAACCAATCATTATTTTCCTATGAGATTATTGTACTGAATATTCAATTACAATGTATTCAAATTGCAGGAGGAAAGAATAAATTACATTCTATTGATGTAGCTGAACTTTTTGCGATCTATCAAAGATGCATCTTAGCCCAACAACTTGGAAAATCCCATCCAATGTTTTGTTCAGACTCTCAAGTTGTGATTCAGGCTCTTCAAAATCAATCATCACTCCATTGGTCGTCCTTAGGATTGTTATTAGATATTCAGAATCTGCTTTCTGGTTTTAGTTCTTTTCAACTATTATATATTAGTAGGAGGTATAATGTTCCTGCTCATCAATTAGAAAAATGGAGTAAACATATTATACAGGAACATTTTTTGTTACCTACTTATCCTCCTATTGTAGACAATGTCCAAAACTTTGTAATCTTCTCTTTTTGTTAATATATATTTTGATTTACTTGTAAAAAAAAAGGAACATAAGTAAGCACATTAAATGAGCACTTGATAAGTATTTTGACAACTGTCAAAAGTGGGTTTTAATCTTTTTCAAGGGTGGGGTGTGGGTATTTTTAAGGGATAGGTGTCACAAAAAATTTCAATTGCTCATTGAACATGCTTACAACTTCGTGCCTACCTCATCCAAACCCTTAGGATACACGACCTTTTTTAAATCCCCTGAGTGTGCTCATGTGCTCATAGGCTGAAACATCTCAACCAATGGTACATGGGCTTCAACAACTTGCATTATCACCAAAAAGCAATGCCTTTTTTATGCGTTAAGACTAATTATAGTTCATAGATGACATCACCTCAAGAATAAATAGGCCTAGAATTTGTGGAACTCAAACTCTAGAAATCAAATCAACTGAGGCATATGAGCACAAGTGTTCCTTTGGATTGCATTGAAAACTATGGATTGTTTCCTGGGCGATGGGTAGTACATGCAGCTTGGGCTGGTTCAGCCTAATCTTGTAACAATTATATTTCTCAAACCAAACTTTAAAGAGAACACTTCATCATAGGAATATATAGAAACATGATACACACCATGAGACCACCAGGCTACCACCAAAGCTGCTAGAGTCAACATCATGATAAGAGACATCAACTAAACTAATACAACATGAAGCATTGATCCACAACCGGATAGCCTACTGCAAGAATGCCATTGCTCTTGCTCATGCATTCCTCCAAGCCTTTCACCACTCCTGGGATATATTCTTTTCATCTTTTGGCACTGCACCTCCCTTTGTTTCACTTTTGAACTTGTATCCGCTTCCTGCTTCCATGGATTTAAGAATGGCAACGGGGCGGGATCATATTCCTCGTCCCCGCCCCGATTTTGAAATTAACCTCCATCCCCATCCCCGATCCCCGTTAG